TTGGTATCTCGTTATGGCACGACACTTGGATCACAGGGGAGCTACTAGCTGCTTCTTTTCCACGAGCTGCTGCTGCTGCTTCCACGCCCAACACAAGTTTTTCAGATTTTGTGTCATGGTCAGGTGAGAATAGATTGTGGGAAATACCTTTTTCGATTAATCTTCAGGTAGGGGCTGAGAGGGAGAAGAACTATCTTTTGGAGAAAGTAAACGAGAATTCTCATCGTCTTTCGATTGGTCCATGTCGTATGGTATGGAACCCGTGCTCTGATAAGATTTTCTCTGTTAGCTCTATGTACAGAATGCAGGTTGATGATCGATATGCTGGGATGGAGGGCTTTTCGTATCAAGTTGTTTGGAAGAACATTGTTCCCAAAAAAATTTGTGGTTTCCTTTGGCTAGTTTGGTATAAGAAGATCCTCACCATCGATAATCTAAAGAGGCGAGGTTTCGTGTTGGCAAACCTCTGCGATCTTTGTCACAAGGATGATGAATCAATTAACTACATATTCTTAACTTGTCTGTTCGCTACAATTGTTCATGAAGATTTGCTGGATGGCGCCTCTAGATCAGTGTTCTCATCCACTAACATATCCATTGTTATAAATCAGAACGACACAAGGGACCCGGATGGAATGGAGGACTCGTTCAGACATTGTATTATTCATGTTTATTGCTGGTACGTTTGGAAAGGGAGAAATTAAAGGATTTTTCAGCAATCTCATGCCCGCAGCAGGTGGTTTCTAAGAAGATTAGGAGAGCAATCGTCGAGTGGACTACTGCTCATGGGAAGTTAAGTATTGATCAGGGGAAGCTCCTTTTCCATCACAATAGGATTGATTGATTTCTCGGTCCTTTTCTGTTCGTGGTTCTTTTTTCTTTTTAGAGTTTCTTTTTTCTTTTCCCCCTGCTCGACCTCTCCAATCTGATTTTTGGCCTTTTTATTTCTCACCTTGTTTATCTCCCACTCCTTGTGGGAGGACTGTCTTGGAACCTTTTTTATTAATCTAAGTTCATCACCATTATAAAAAAAAAAATATTGGTTTGAGCCTCACTCAGTTGTCCTTATATGTAAAATGACACTTTCCTGTCTCTATCGGAAAGACATTAGGGTATGCCAATTTACTAAGAATGGCACTTACATGGGGAAAACTTGTTACCACTTGGTGTTAGAGGTTTCTTAGGTTTCTATTTGTAAATCTCTGACCCAAATCATTAATCCCTCCATATGGAAAAAAATACGTTAGATGTCCAATCACATCAAAGCTAAAATTCTTTATCTAGTGATGCATGAAGTTAGTCCTACCTACGATTGTGGCTCTTCAATCCCGAGGGGTCAACTGTCTTATCCAATGTCCTGTTTGTTAGAGACATCAAGAGAGTATGAACACTTGTTCTTCGGATGTCCCCAAGCCACACAACTAGGGTCTCTTGTGGGATTAAGTTATTTCATTGACTCTATCTTTACTGTGAATTTCAGTCTCTAGCAGCAACGTGTTATGCTCTCTGAGTACTCCGGGATCCATGTTCTCCAATGCTCTCTAAGTACTCTAGCGGCAACGTGTTATGCTCTCTGAGTACTCCGGGATCCATGTTCTCCAATGTGTCTACCTACTATGGAGAATATGAAAATCTCGAAATAAATATCATCAACACAAGCTCGTCTTTAGCTCGTCATTTTTATTTCCAAGTTACTAAGTGACCTCTATGCTCTTACCCTCTTCGGCTACTCTACCTTGCCCGTTTCGCTTCCTCCAGCCCTTTGGGAGTCTCCCTTGAAAACTTTATGAAGATTAACTTTGATGCATCTATCTGTGATTCTGGTTGTTCGTTTGGCCTGGTCGTTTGTGGGGTAGACGAACATATTGTGTTGGTGGTTGGAGCTCTGCAACTTGGAAGGGTTGATCCCTACCTGGCATAACTTCTTGCTGCTCGAGATGCACTTTCGCTCGTTGTCTCAAGAAACTTGTGTCTTTTAATTGCAGAAGGTGACTCTGAAGTGATGATTCAACAGCTTCATCAAGGCGTTATGATGGATTCTCTTGGAGGTACATTGCTTCGGGATTGTCGCCAACTGGTTGACTCTCCGACTGTTTATATAGATTTTAGGGCGGTTCCTTGAGCCACAAACGAGGACTGACCAAACCGAATCAAACCAAATGAATCGAACATATTGTTGGTTTGGTTCTTATCTCTATTTTTCCTTTGATTTTGCTAACGTCCCATCTCGATTCTATCCGATTATGAACCGATGTCCAACCCTACACAATTTGATTACCGATCCAAGGACGAGTGACTTATATATATTGTGTTAACTTTAAGATGTATTTTAAGACAACTAAACTAAATTTGTGATTATATATAGGGTCGTTTGCTTGTTGGATTTGAAAATGAAAGTTTTGAGTTTTGAAAACCTATGGATTTATGATGAATTTGTTGCATTTTGTATTTGAAAGATAACATTGTTTGTTTAGTTGATTTTGATCATGGATTTAAAGGTTTTTGTACTACGGCTCACAAATTCTTGCCTTCCATGACCAAATGCCAAATGAAATGTGGGATTTGCAAATACGTGGGGTCCACAGATTTTTTGCTAAAAAAAGGACCACATCCATGGGCCCTACGAATTTGTATACCTCAACAAACAATATTTTTTTGACAAATACATAATGCTTGGGATTTGGGTGCCAAATACATCACCCAAATCCCACAAGCAAATGACATCTATATATTGATGTTCACAAGTAGGGGTGGAAGTTTGGTACCAGTATTTGGGATATACCGAATACCGTACCGAATTTGTCTATATTTGGTATTACCGAATACACGTATTATTTTGTGGGATTGGGATTGAGATTGAATTTCAATTGTCATTCGATATTAGGGATAACGAGATTGAGATCGGGATATACCGAAATCCCGATCAACACCGAATACAAGCTAGTGCGTAATTTATCCTTTGAACTACACTCTCTCATTCACTCGACCCTCAACTACCAATAGTGTCATTTAATTATACATAGACCATTCCATCACTATTTCACACTAGTATTAGTCATCTCTCAACTTCAAATTCGTCAAATTAAAGATTACCAATTACAAGAATTTGAGATATTAGCTCTAGGCAACTCAAGACTCTCTGCCTAGTCTCTTTGCCCTAAATTAAACAATAACATCTAATTTATATATTTAATTATTAATTATAAAGGTAATTAATTTTGTATTTGATAATACCGATTGGGATATCGAAATATTTAGGGATTGGGATACCGAAATTATTTAGGAATTGAGATTGAGATTGATTTTAAGGTATAATTCGGTATTCGAAATTTCGGTATTTGATATTGGAATACCGATACCGTACCGATTTCCACCCCTATTCACAGATCACAAGAAACAAAAGTACACCGGCCTGGCTGCCTCCCAAAGTACTCCAAGACAAACAAACCAAAATATACAACCATTGTGACACGCCTGCTAAATATACAACCATTAATGAAGTGCAAATCTGCTTCTGAATACTGATGTCCCACATTTTGTCTACTTACTAGAGTTAGTAGCGTCCGGCCTTAAGGATGGCAATGGGTCGGGTTGGGGCGGGTTTTGTCAAATCCGGGGCGGGTATCTTGATTAGGGATGGCAATGGGTCGGGTTGGGCGGGTTTTGTCAAATCCAAACCCAAACTCATGGGTTTATTCGCCAAAAAAATCCGGGGTAAAACCCGTTGGATTTGAAAAATTCAAACCCAACCCAACCCGCTGGGTATCCGCGGGTTCATGGGTACCCGTGGGTTTTTGTGGTAAAAAATTTACAATAACAAGTTTCTTTCAAAATAAAAGTTTAACATCAATTTTCTCATACAAATTATTCATACAAAAAACACCAATCTAGAGCATACAAGCAAACCGCAAATGATCAATACAAATTGTTCAAAATTAAAGATAAACATATATAAACAATAAGATTAATTGAAAGCTTCTTCCTCGTCAACTAAGTTTTCTTCACTTTCCACTTCATAATATCAACTTCATTCTAAACAATTAGAAAGAGCAAATTATACATGTCTCCACAAACATAAAAAATATTAATTGTTTAAGGAAGATATATTATTTAGAATATTAAATATACAGGGAAAGTAATTATATGTGTGGGCGGGTACCCATGGAGCGGGTTTACCTAAACCCAAACCCAACGCGACCCGGTGAATAGTGTAGCGGGTTTAAACCCAAATCCAGCTCAAAACCCGTCAACACGGGTTTTATCCGCGTTGACCGGTTTGGGTCGGATGGGTACACGTGGGTTCGGGTTTTGTTGCCATCCCTAATCTTGATATCCATACTCGCCTCATGGCAAGTTAGGTTCGGGTCGGATAATTTATCACGGGGTGGGGGTCGGGGCAGGTCGACCCAATGGGTATGTAATTTATGTGAAAAACATTAGAAATGTTCGTTCTTTTCATTGAAAGACCAAGAAAGAATCCATAATATGATAAAATGCAGTTAAATTATTGAAGAAATTGAGGTTTTCAATTATTTACAACTTTATTATAGCTAAAATATAATGTAATAAGAGGAAAATCTTAAGTAATTTGACTAAGATTATATGTAATTTAGGCAAGAACAGGTCGAGAATGTGACGGGTCATGGCAAGTCGAGTAGATGAGAGATACACATGCCCGTGGACGGGTTTGACTCGCCCTATAACAGGTCAAACAAGTCGGGTAAATCAGGTCAAGTCAGATCAAAATTGTCATCCTACGAGGAGTGTGGGCCTGGGTATACCAATCGACTTAAAAAAGGGGCTCGGCCTGTTATCATTAGTAATCAGGCATAAGGCCCAAGCGGAAAACCCATTTATCGGATACAATCCCCGTTCCCCTGGCGGGAAAAAGGCACCAACCTTCGCGGGAAACAAAAGGAAACTTCTGAAACACGATCAAAATTCCTTTTTTGGATTTAAATTTTGAAATTTCGGATTTACCTTTGGCGATTCCCGATCCCCTCATTTCCCCGCTCTCGCTCAGAAGCAGCAAACAGAGTCGATATTTTCAGTTCTCCGGCGATTTCCTTACTGTTCAGAGCTTTCATTCATACATGGCGGAAGAAGAGGAGAACGTTGAAGAAGCGTCGATTCGGACCGAATTCCCGGCCGGCCGTGTGAAGAAGATAATGAGGCTCGACAAGGAAGTCAACAAGGTGACATCGGAGGCTCTATTCCTAGTCTCGCGCTCCACGGAGCTGTTCCTTCGGTTCCTCGCGGAGAAGTCGGCGGAAGTCGCCACCGAGAAGAAGCGGAAGATAGTGAAGAGCGAACACCTCCGAATCGCCGTCAAGAGGCACCGGCCGAGCAGCGATTTTCTCTTAGACTCGCTTCCCGCGCCGCCAGCTCCCCAGTCGCAGGAAGAGGCTTCTGTAGGCCGCAAGCGCGAAGTTGCTAACAAGCCGGCACCGGCTGGAACTCGCCGGATCGATGCTTTCTTTGCTATATCAGCGAGCGGTGCTTCACCTTCAGCCTGAGAATCGCCGGTGGATAGCTGTATTTCTCTTTTCCTAGATCTCTATTGTTCTTCGAATTAGGTTCTATTTGGATTGTAATGTCATCTTCCCTCGATTTTCATATTAGGTATTTGAAATTTTGAATGCTTTCTTGTTGAGAGATGATACTTAGTGAAGAACAAGGCTGTAAACTCAGTATTAGGTTTACTAGTACTGCAACTTTACATCTTCATTGGAAGAATACATCAATCTCGAAGCAAATTTTATTTTGACTGAGACATAAATACAACCGTGCTCATCAACCTAACTGAAAGATGGTCAAATGTGTAGCATTCTATAGCATAAACAAAGTCTGGAACAGTAGATTCTTCAAGGGGACAAGGGCCCAGAAAATGTTGAGAGTACTGAAGCTGTTTCGTCTTGAAATCGTGGAGTAATCCCACGATGAGTAGGAAGAGGAATCTTAGTTTCATGCATTTTCTTCCCTTCCTTTATGTATGATATGGCTTGAGTTGCAGAATAGTTGATGCTATTGCTACCCAAACGTTGGATGCTCATAGACAGCTTTCTGTTTGAAGGAGTGGCATAGCTTAAGCCTCCATTCAAGCTTCTGTTGGAAGGGCGTCGACTACTGGTGCTTGGTCTCGAGGTAAAGGGGGGTTCTGGTTCTACTTGGATCTGCACCTTCTTCGTTTCCTGCTGGGCCATCTCATGTAAGGTAAGAGCAGAAATACAGACGGTCAGGCTATGTACAATTTCGTCATTTGATTTAAAGTATCTAGATGAGCTAGCATTTCCTGATGAACTATGGGATTAGAACAAGTTGTAGATAGATCTGACTTGTATGGACATATTCAGTCTGGTGGCACTCACCTTTTGCCTTCGCTTTTCGTCCTCTTTCTCAAGCCTTACCATGTTATATTCTTCTATCATTGCCATCAAAGGTACCTATATAAGAATCTTGGTTTGAGATTGAAGTGCATTGTGGAGATCAATGCCACACAGGTATATAAAAGCACGCTTTGCCAACATTTACTAATTGTGCAATTCATTGTCTTACATCATCGTACAAGAAGACTTTCTTTCTCTCTTCTTCCCAACTCTTTGTTTTGGAGACAAGTGAACCTAACAAATCTGCATGAGCAAGTTTAATGTCAGCATTGTCCGACACACAAGTTGAGAGACAAAAAGTTATTGCCTGCTTAGCTTGCAATGACTTATCTCCAGAAAAGTTTAATTTCTTAGTTGCTGTTGTAAAGAATCCATAATTACCTCCTAGTTAGCAATTTTAGGCCTAGTTTGCAAAGGTTAAGATATTCTTTAGCATTCCTTTATCTTTCAAGGTGTTTAGAGTGGAGGTTGTGCGTTTTTGGCGTATATGTTGAAGCAGGGAGAGGCTCCATGCAAAATCACTCTAGAGTGAGTTTCTAAGATTACCTGGAATCTTATTGACCTGGATTCTGGCCTTTTCTGCACGTCGCAGATTCCTGTGAGCTCCTCTGCTGACTGAATACCGATTCTCATCCTGAAGCATATATGAAGTGTTAGTTAGGATATTTATATTGAGCTGGTAGAATAATTATGTTTGTTGATTTATTCAGTAAGAACTTGACCATGCTATATTCTTCCAACCAACGCTCCTCGTCTCTCGCCAGCATCAACTTTTCAACCTTTTCCATTATTGCCTTCCTGCTGGATGCTTCTTCTTTTGCTCTTGATATTTGTTCGTCCATGCTCATAAGGAGATTTGCATGATCAATCTCACCTTCATGTGTATACTCAGTTAGTGTTGAACCACTAAGTTCAGTACAAGTATCTTTGTAGTTGTTAACTCTTACCAGAGTTAATAAGGTTGATTATTTTTTCCATCTCCGATCTTGAAGGTATCTCTATGTGTGATCTGCTACATATCTCTTCCAGCTCACTCTGTTTCTTGAAGAAGATCTCCTTTGTCTTGCTTGCTTTTAACTGATCTAGTCTCTTGACTTCAGCTTCAGCCTTAAATGACGAAAGGCTGATTGTTAATATTCATTTCTCTCCCCCGCAGTATGATATTATCATATGTTCACTGACTAACCTCCTGGATTATATTTTGAGCAAGGCATCCTGGATCCGACACTTCAGATGATGATTTACGTAATAAGTTAGTGACGTGAAAGAATTGCCGGCGGTCTCCATAAGATGTGTCCATGAGATTCCACAGGTTTGTTAAAGCCTTTCCAAGATGGTAAAGCTGCAGGTTGAGAAACTCATGTTAGTTAACTTTCCTTTTGCTGGTAAACTGTTTCTGAGAAAGTAAAAACGTGGCCAAAATACACTGTTTGGAAGATAGCAATATTGGTTTTCACCTTCTCAGTGCGTTTTTGTTTGTCTTCCTTTAGAGATTCCACAGTGCTGTTCAGCTTAGCCAGTATGGTGTCACTTATGTTCTTGGAAATGCCACACAACTCATTCAGAGTTGGATGGACCTTTGTAATTATCATGGAAGACTCCATTCCTAATGTAGCAGAAAGGTTCCGGATAGTGTCTATATACATATCCACTTGCTGAAGCCTGTCATTCTTTTGATGTGAAGAAAGAAGAAGCTTTACAATCATATATACCAATGTGCATTTACTGTTTGAACTTCTAAGAACCATGTACCCAATTAACTTTTACCTTTTCTTTGTGTAGTCTTTGCAGCTCACTTTGATATTCCTCGAGTTTCTTCGACGAAAGGTCGTTCTCATTTACTATGACGTTAGTTATTGAATCATCATAAGCGGATTGACCTGCAATCTCTGCTGATATCTTTTGGATTTGCGCTTGCACAGCTCGAAACTGGTTTACTCTATCCTCCTTTCTGAGACGCATCTCTCTCAGAGCTGGGGTGATTGCATCCAATTGCTCCTTCAGTGTTCCCGATACTTTCTCCGGCTGCAAACAGAAAGGATAGGTAATTTAGTGAACACATACTGAAACTTTTTTTGCAAGTATGAGCAAATCTAGCTCTCTTGCCATCATAGCCCGACTATAAATTATCTAGTAGAATAAACTATTGATCATATGACAAGTAGCTTATAAACCGGAATAGAAAATAATGTCAATGGTTGAATTTGTGCCAACAAATAGGCCTGTATCTCATTTTATGAAAACCTTTAGGGGTCGTTTGGATGGAGTATTTGTATGAGTTATTTGGGTTCAAATAACTCACAGTGAGTTATTTGGATGCAAATAACTCGTTTGGCAGCGTTTTAGTGAAATGAGTTATTTGGACAGTGAGTTATTTACAAATAACTCAAAACGAGTTATTTGAAATAACTTATACTCATGTGTTATTTCGAAATAACTCGTTTTATCACTATGCTTTTACCAAATACCACATTTGCATGGTTCAACCAAACGAGATACATTATTTCAATTACCACTAAAATAACACTAAAATACCACATGAGCAATAAATGAGTTATTGGACACTACAAATACCACATTGACAATTAACCCATCCAAACGACCCCTTATATTTTCTGAATGTCTGAACTTGGTGGTTTCCTTTGCAGATGGCTACAAGCCTATGTTAAATGCTAGTGGTTCATATACTAGCTTGAAAAGTACAGATTACAGTACCCGTCCAGGGAGAGACCGTTCACCAAGGGAGAGAAGAAGATGGGTAAGTTCAGCTTCTGATTCAGCCAATTCTTGATGCAGTCGGGCCCTTGATATGTTTGCACTGTCGACTTTTCTTCTGTAGACCTCCAGACATTCCTGCTCCAAGTCCAGTAGAACCTTCTCACGATTGAATTGGTCTTCACCAACTTCATTCCATATCATCTGTTCTTGCAGGGGAAAAAACCCAGAAGGGAAGAAAATGGCTGCTAAGGGAAAAACAAGAAAAGAAGAAACCCAGTAGTAAAGTAGTAATAAATTGATGTATCACAGCTTGCCTGCAATTCCTGGAGTAGATATCCGCACGATGTTTCTAAAAGTGCAGAGCTCTGCATTTTCTGGAAGGAGCCCATCTGATGGCCTTCCACCGTGGGAGCTGAAACTGGGGCAGCTAAGATAGATTGCCTTCCACAGTTGACACTATCTTCTACTCGGTAAAAGTTGTGGAAACTTTGGTGTCAGAATTTGCTTAGAAGACAAGAAGGCTACAGGATTCGGTTACCTGTAAAGCTTTTGGCTGAAGCATAAGCCAGCTCGCCCATCTTCAGGTTCTGTCTCTCCACCTTATTATTTTACTTTTCTTCACAAAGGCTAAAGTCTCCTTCTTTACTTAGATCAGGATGGGAAAATGGCAGTTGCATAGCCATAGTTCAGTGCTTTTTTTATGCACTGTTGGGTTCCTTCTGACCCAGGAATGGGTGCCAAATCGTTTTCATAACCAATACAACACTTCACCTTTTTAAACCTTGTTTAATAATGTTTTAGTTACAAAAGCAGTATATTTTAGACGGAATTCTTGTCTCTTTAGCGGTAGCATGTCGTTGTCTGGCAAATATAGGCAAGGGAGATAGGGAGAGAACAACTCTCACGAACTTAATGGGGTATGAATCTGAATTATAAAAAAAAGTAAAGAGACGGCACATGGGATCTGCTACTCTTGAAGGTTACGTCTCTTTGGGCGTAGTGGAGGAAGCTTGTAATCAAGAATCCGTAGCAGTTGTGTAATTTTTGGTTGATGGATCTAAGTTGGTTCGAACCCTGGTTACGAAGGGGCAGCAGCTAATACTTACGTCGATGCGGTGCGTTTAGTGGGGTAAGGTTATAGACTCAAATACCACATCACTTGTTCTGAGTTGCAGAAGGGTTTATAAACCGAAGCAGTAACAATCAGGCTTGTCCCTTCGGGGACATCCGATAAAATTGGAACGATACAGAGAAGATTAGCATGGCCCCTGCGCAAGGATGACACGCATAAATCGAGAAATGGTCCAAATTTTTTTGCCTTCCTCCGCAATCTTTTTTAAATATTTTAGTTGCCACCTTTCCAGAAAAGATTTTAGTTCCTCCAATTTATGAATTGGCTGCAGCAACATACTTCCATGTCATTCATGTTGACATTTTGATAGGTTACTTGGATCTCAGGATAAGACAGTTGCCAATTTTTTTTATATGTTAAGCTGAATCCATATAATTGATCAACGAATGAAGTACTTAAGAGGCAAAACAAGGTTATATGCAGCTTCTTGTGGACTTTGATTTCTTGTTTCTCTTATGGGTTGAAATTTGATCTGAGAACCAGAAGTGTGAAGTTTTGATGTTTGATGTACAATCCAGATACCGAATCCAGACAAGGTTCTGCAGTTGTTTGCTCCTTTGATGTGACTTAGAAAATGACGGATTACAGGTTAACTGTCTTGCAAACTCTCGTTGGCTTTCATGTGTGAGACTCATCTGTAACTTTGGGTTCTGCAGTAGCTCCACTCTGCTCATCAGACTTCCTTAGGATACAGGAAGATAGAAGACTGTACACCTTAAATGTTAGACCAATATATGAGAGGTAACCAGAACTTTGTATGTGACTTGGGGATTGCAAATAGCTATTTAGTAATCTCAGAATGCTTCTTATTCTTATTTTTCCATTAGGGCGTTAGGAACTATAGCATGAGTCTTTGTTCTGGTGAGCAGTTCTAGTATAATAGGTGAAACTGTGAAGGAAAGTATGATCATTAAGGCGATTTGGGTCTTTAAGAATTTGAGGCTTAGTGGCCTAATCTCTGTTCCAAAAGGGTGACTGACTTATACCTCCAAAAGGGTGAGTTCATGTCAGAATTGAATGCTACTGTACCACATTGGTTGAAACTACCTCCAATATGCAGTTTATATTTTACATGATCGCCAAAGTTACTGTCCCTTCGGGGACATCCGATAAAATTGGAACGATACAGAGAAGATTAGCATGGCCCCTGCGCAAGGATGACACGCATAAATCGAGAAATGGTCCAAATTTTTTTTCCCTTCCTCGCATTCGATGTTTTTCCTTACCTTCCCCTCTAGTACAGGTGTGGTTTTCTTTTGTTCCTATCTGCTCTTGCACAGTATATGAATTGGGTTTGGTTTCTCACCCATTTGAAGTTTTTGGCTCATATGGTATGCAGCGGCTCATGCAGGAAGAAAGTATTTCTTCAAACGAAAGACCGTAAGCAGATTCCAGGTTGCTATATCTCTTGTAACTCTTTTACATTAACATCTTAGAAGTACTTCATCAAAAAGTTACGTTACAGAAGTGACTCATCAGTATCATGATTCTGATGTAGTTCTTGCCCGGGGCTCGGTTTGAAAACGACTAAAAGAAGAGGCAAACAGGAAGGAAGCAGATTGTACAACTCAAACGTCCATTTGAAGTTTTTGGCTCATATGGTATGCAGCGGCTCATACAGTAAGAAAGTATTTCTTCAAACGAAAGACCGTAAGCAGATTCCAGGTTAGCTATATCTCTTGTAACTCTTTTACATTAACATCTTCTCTAAGTACTTCATCAAAAAGTCGCGTTACAGAAGTGACTCATTAGTATCATGAAAACGACTAAAAGAAGAGACAAACAGGAAGGAAGCAGATCGTTCAACTCAAACGTCCATTACTATAGCAGAGGTAAGACCTACTCCCACCATTCTTTTCTAATAATCGAATCTCCTTTCAGTTGGTTATTTTGCTGCTGCTGATGCTAACATATAAGTCTATAAGATGACATGTCTTCAATTCGTAGAACATCATCCATTAGAAGTTCTCTTTCGACCTGAGCTCTAGTTGACTTCAGAACTTCCTATTGTATAAATAACACACAGCATAAGCAAGATAGTTTGTGGTAGAAACTTGAAAGCCAAACCAACTAACTGAAGTGATCACTAGCTATCAATTGATTAATGAATGAAGGTACTGAATAAGCCAGGCAGGGCTCTGATGGTATTTGGGGTAATTTATTTGAACTCATCAAATTGGCAGCTTATAGTTTAGATCTCTTGTATACATTCATTGTTCAACATGATATCCGGAAACCCATCAAACTTCTGAAGTCTGACACAATAGTGATTGATCAGCATCATGATTCTGCTGCAGCTTTTCCCTTGGACTTATGCCTCCAAGGATTCACTTGAAGATGAAGAATGAGGAGAATGTTATACAACTGGAATATTGGACCAACATGTGAGAGGTAAGAACTGCTTAACCATCCCTTTTCAAGAATCTATTTTTCTTCACTTGGTTATTTGCTGATAACATACAAGGGTATAAGTTGACTTAGCTCTATCTGAACATCAATCAGAATGTTCCAGAGTTACAATCATTTTAGCCGTTTGTGATTGGATTACAGGGGAATTCGCTTCCTTGGTTCTTTTCTGAACTTCAATTAGAAATATGTTATCTTATTTCCTATGGCTGCATGCTTGTCCATTGGGAACTTCTCTTTCTATACGCTATCTGTCCTGTTCTCGAATTAGAATTCCCCCACAGTCCAAATCACTTATGTTAAAAGTGGCCTATAACAACTGAGAAATTTTGTAAACTTAACCAGTCGATGTTTCGAAAGCCTGATTTGCACTTCTGCCTTAAACTCATATGAAGGCAGACGAATGGATTGAAAATTGAAGCACTGACCATAACTGTCTTGGCTTTATACGAAGAACTTGGGATTGAAACAAGCTTTATTTTGCTGACTTCAACATGGAAGAGTTTGGGTAAAAAGTGGAATGATACGGCAAGTAAATAGTAGATTCAGAAGTACCTAAGCAGGTTCGAACCCTGGTCCACCAAAGGCAAAACTAACACTATGAGACGTTGCGTTTTATTAAGCTTATGCTATGTGGTCAGTGCGGATACCACATCGCTTGTTGATGGGTAGTTTACAGTCTTTATTAACAGTAGCCAAGCACAATCTATTGTCCCTTCGGGGACATCCGATAAAATTGGAACGATACAGAGAAGATTAGCATGGCCCCTGCGCAAGGATGACACGCATAAATCGAGAAATGGTCCAAATTTTTTTTTTTTCTCCGCAATATTTTTTAACTTCAGTGATATTTTGCTTTGCTCTTGTCCAGTTTATGAATCCAGTGTGAGCTTACCTCATTCAAGTTTTTGGCTCATATGCTGTGCAGATTTAACTCATTGATGTTTTTGGCTCATATGCTGTGGAGGGGCTCATTACTAGATGAATATATCTCAAGCAGGCATTTTGGCGGGGTTGCTTGAATGCCAAGTTCTTTTTCCAAGCTCAATTACAGAGATAAGAACTCTGTATAAGTACACAAATTTGATGTTACTTGCAGAATCCACATAAAGATGGAGGAATGAAGTACTCGATCCTTGTCCTGCTGATATTCGATCTTTATTTTGACTTGCCAAATTACGGTTAAAGGTAAGTTATTTAGTAAACTCGTTAAGGTTCATGGGTCAACTGATTAGTATCCAATAGTTCTACAGAATTCAGATGCAAAAAGACTCATCAGACTTTCTTCTGTCAGTAAGGGCACTCGCTTGGAGAAGAAGGCAAACATGAAGATTGTAAGACTGGACTGTTATCCCATTACTATATCTGAGATAAGTACTACTACATCATCATTAGAATTCTTTATGTTTCTTCAGTTGGTTATCTTGGTGCTGCTAATATAGTAGGGTATATGATGGCGTGTGTTCGATTCGTAGTACGTTATCATTAGAAATTCTCTTTCCTTTGTATGAAGAAAACACTGCACTGGGAAGATAGTGTGAGAAAACCAAACCAACTAACTGACAGTGATCACAAGCTAGCAGGGTCCTCAAATTGAAATCCTTGTAAGTTGCATTCCTCTCTAGCCATTGTTCGTTGATCACAAACGATACGCAATAGCGCAAATCGAATGCTCACAACACACAGATTGATGAAATAACTCAATAAGAGATGCAAATGCACTGAACTACACATGTCTCAACATAGTTGCAGTGTTCCTACCTGATAACATATGCATGAAAACTGATCTCACAAATGTACTAGGCTTTGTTGCAACACCACTACATTAGATAAGCCAAAACACTTGGAAGATCATCAACTACTTAGTTTCGTTTATAATTATATTGAAGTTTCAAAATTAACAATTGTCTGTCAGGTTACTTACTAGAATCAAGATCAAGCATCTGCATGATCATGAACGTGACATTTACACCCGCGATAGCATATGGATACTCCCTAGCAGACCTCTTCCCTCCTTGCTTGTTCAGTAACTGTTGAAATGAAGTATGTAGCAAAACACAGGGTTCTGCAATTTTAGTGCCACAGGTTTGGTCTGTGTAGACTGAGATTAAGTTTAGGATTAGGATGGCTCATACCAAAACTGTCTTGGCGAAGGAAAACAGGTACTCCAATGAAATAAAACCTGCTCCCCTGTTGAAAATGTGTAGAAACATCCACCCGGTGATGAGTTATCCAGGAATGCTGTAGTTTGACCATAACATGAATTGTGAGGACTAAATCAACCTTAAATCAGTAGAAGGAGTGAAGGATCTTTCCACTGCCTTCCATTTTCCTTCCATTGATCAGATATCAGTCCACATAGCTTTATGTCAGGATGTGGCTAACAATAGTGCTCTTGGTGTTTCCTGTTTCATCAAAATTCCCACCTTTAGAAGAAAAGTTGATAAGAGCTTAAGTATCAAGTTCTGGCATATGGTTAATGGTAAAGGGAAAAGTTCCACACACCTGGTGATCACTCCTAAAAGTATCGAAATGAACCTTCATGACGCTTCCACCCTCTCACTCTTTCCTCCTTCAAACTCTCCAATGCAATCCATCAGCTCACTACTCACTAGAAGTACATAAATTATCATAGCCTCGGCATCTTTCAAAAATATATCGTCTCATGTGTTAGTAAAACCGGAATCTTTAACCCTTGCTCCCCTACTGCATTCATTTACATTGGCTTTGGTTGGGTTGATCCTTGGTTGAAATGCCACTGCTATCACTATAGAGAGTACCACTAAGTGTGAAGGTACTGGTTAGATTGTGTATCATAAATTACCTGTCATTATAATTGAGCTGCTGGCCATAGTGCCTGGCATTTAACTTCGTTTCAGCACAGGACCTCTTCTCTCAAAATAGAAGAACACTTAACTAAATTCTTTAGCCTTGCCTACTGCAATCTTTTCATTGCCCAAGATGGTTTGTTTGAAGTCTAGGCCTTAGGGGGATGTAGAACCCAATTATGGGTTTGCCATTCGCCACATTTATTGTGCTTTCACCCATAATAGCCATTATAACTTCCAACCGTTAGTAGTTTGATCGTCCCTTCGTGGACATCCAATTTTATTGGAACGATACAGAGAAGATCGGTGTGAGCCATACACAAGGATTCCATTTGCATAAATCAAGAAATGGTCCAATTCTTTTTTCTTATTCCACAAAATTTTCTTGATCCATCCCTCTCCACTAAAGCTGTGATCTTTTCCTATCTACTAATGGCTTTGCTCTTGTCCAGTTTATGAATCTGGAGTGTTTTATACCCATTTGAAATATTTTATAAACCCTCCTGTCTAGTAAAGCTGTCTAGTAAATCTGGAGTGTTTTGCTCTCGTTCAGTTTATGAATCGAGAATGATTTTTGCCCTTCTTCGCTCATTTGGTGTGCAGAGCAGCAGAGGGTTATGCATCTTTGCTCCTGTGCTGTGAAGGGCTCATAACAAGAACATGTTCTTTAATCAGGCATTTTGGCGGGTTGCTTGAATTGCAAGTTCTTTCTCCAAGCTCAAGGATTGTTACAGACCGAAGATATAAAACTCTGTATAAGTAGAAAACTTTGATGTTACTTGCAGAATCCACATAATCATGGAGGAATGAAGTACTAAACAAGCCAGACAACGTTCTGCTTATATTTGGTCCTTAGTTGGCTTACCAAAATGGCAATTACAGGCAAGCTATCTTGTAAACTTCTTTAGATTCATGGGTCAAATTATTATTATCCAATAGATTCACCAGATGCAAAAAGAACTCATCAGGATTTCTTTTGTCAGCAAGGACACTCTCTTGGAGAAGACGAGAAACAGGAAAGGAGTTCGTACAAATAAAATGTTAGCCAATTACTATATCGGAGGTAAGTGCTACTCCACCATCCTTCGAACTATTGATGTTTCTTCAGTTGGTTATTTTGTTGCTGCTGCTAACAAAGAAGTGTATAAGATGGCATGTCTTCGATTCGTAGAACGTCGTCCATTAGAAGCTCTCTTTCCACCTGTGCTCTAGTTGACTTCAAAACTTCCTATTTGTATGAAAGAAAACCACAGGTCCACAGCATTAGGAAGAAAGTGGGAGAAAACTAAACTAAAGTGATCACTAGCTAGCTAGGTCCTCACATTGAACTCCATGTAAGTTGCATTCCTCTCTAGCCATTGCTTGTCCATAATCACAAATGCCACGCAATAGAGCAAGTCGAATGCCCACTCATTTTCTTCGAAAACAGATTCGTGAAATCAGAGATGAACAAAGCACTGAATTACGCATGCATCACATAGTTTTAGTATTCCTACCTGATAACATCTGCATGAAAACTGATCTCACAAATGTCCTAGGCTTTGCTGCAGCACAACTACACAGGATTAGCCGAAACACTTTGGAAGATCATCAATTAGTAAGTCTAGTGTAGCTGGCATTGAAGTTTCAAGATTAACAAACGTCTGTGAGGCTACTTACTATTATCAAGATCAAGCATCTGCATGATCATGAACGTCACATTTACACCTGCAACAGCAAATGGATACTCCCAGGCTGACCTCTTCCCTCCTTGCTTTTTCAGTAACCGTTGGAATGATATCTGTGGCAGTGGCAACACAAAGTTGTCTGAATTTAATTGCCACGGCAGTGCTGCCATCTTTAGACTGAGGTTAAGTTTAGGATCATATACCGAAAATGTCTTGGCGAAGAACAATAGGTTCTCCAGAGAGATAAATCCAGCTCCCCTGCAGAAAACGTTAGGAAAATTAACCCTGCGCCGAGTATATGAGGAATGCTGCTCATAGGTGAATAAGAACCTGAAATCAGTAGAAGGATCTTTCCCCTGCCATCCCATTTCTTTCCATTGGTCGGATACTAATCCACATAGCTTTATGTCAGGATATGTGGCTGACCATAGTGCTCTTAGAGCTGCCTGTTTATCATTAGAAGTGACCACCTTTAGAACTTAGAAGGAATGTGTAAATCTAAAGCATGTCAAGTTTTCCCCCAGTCTATGATCTTAGAAGAGCAAACATGTTGAGTTCTGGAATCAGCAGGCCAAAAAAGAGCCCCACACGAACCTGATGATCGGTCCTAGAAGTATCGAAATGGACCTTCATCCGATGCTTCAATCTTCTCACTCTTTCCTCCTGCAAAGCAACAAATAAAAGGGTACAGAAACTGTTAGAATCTCAACCCATCTTTCAAAACCTAGAGCCTAAATACATGAATAAAACCGGAATCTTTAGCTTCACCCACTAGTGTATTAGTCGTTTGCATTGGCTATGGTTGGCTTGATCCTTGGTCGAAATACGGCTGTTGTCATTGCCATTATAGAGGGTACCAGTGTGTGTGAAGGGTACCAGCTAGACTGTGTATCTTTCTTAAATTAATCAAGTGCAGTTAAGCAGAAGCCCTATTCTGGGCTTGCCCATAGCCACATTTCTCAACTTTCTATTCTAATGCTTTCAACCATTATCGCAGTTACAGCTTACCTGTTGAGGAGTTAGGTTGATGAAGATGCGTTGATAGACCCCTTTCCTGTTGAAGCAAACACAAGTAAGGCCTCTACCGATCCAAGCAGGCGCCCCACAAGTTGCATGCTCATCTGCCCAAAAAATCGACACCCAAATTTGTTTTGTTTGTTCAGTTTGTAAAGCATTTACCTCCGAAAGAAACACAAGTAAAACAAAAGACCTCGTGCGTTCGTTGCTGCATCAACAGAGCATTTCATTTTCATTTCATAGATCAGGTGGCTACTAGTTGCCTGGAGTTCTCTTTGGAATGGCCATTTCCCTGGGGGGACAAAAAATCCCTCCCCAGATAAACCGGTACCGTTTTTTGCCATTTCCCATTGCCGGTATAAGCTGCAGGCTACTGTCAGGATGGCCATCTGTTGGCATCAAGGCAGAGGGAGCCCCACAGTTACAGACAGGACGGCTAACTGAGGCAAATTAAAGGACTAAAGGCCAAGGGCTCCAGGTCACGTGACCCAACCCAAGCTATATACTGTCCGAACCTGACTCTTGTTCGGATTGACATTGATCGACCCATATGATCTATATTCGTAATCATACCATATAGGAGTGTTCAAACGATGTGTTTATTATGGCAACCGTTTTAACTACTAGTATTTGGTTACTGTCGATTAGTTTGGATTGGTCTTGTCAAATTTTTTAGCTTGTTTGATTTAAGTGGTTTGGTTTGAGACACTCCTAACCAATCAAATCAAATTAATCAGTTAAGTAATTATTTATATATCTAATATATATTATATACACATGCTTAATACTTGGCATAACCATTCAAGAGCCAAACATTCCTTCTTTTTTGTCTCATCAACAATACAATTCAATATTGTTCCTATACTAATATTTGTATTTGTAGTAGTGTAAACCATGATATATGAACGTTCAATTTAGATAAAACTCATATAATATATTAGATGAAAACTTGAAATTGCTAAGAGACTAATTCGATTAACACAATCACAACAATTAATTAACTCCATACTATTTACATGTTTTTTTGTTACGTGAATACTTCTATTGATCGTAAGATAATTGTATTAGTTGCATATAATTCTGTAAGAGTTAATTAACTATAACTTTGTGTTCATTGTAATGTTTTATTCATTATATAAATTGTGAATTGATGCATTAATTGAAAATTTTCTCACTTAATGATAAGTGATGTTATATTGGTTAATCTGGTTAACCAGTTAACCAAACTGATTGAACTTTAGTTTGGTTGATTTGATTGTTATATTAGTTTGGACGGTTTGATTATGATATTGTATTTAATGGTTAATAGAATTTCTGTTTGTTTGGTTTGATAATTACCATGATAACCATTTGAATACCCCTAATAGGTTTAGGCTCCAATATGATCCTTTTTATGAAAGAGTTGAACTACGAATTAACCATAATTTCAACATAAAATCATCTGTTACTAATTTTTCCGGCACAACTTTCGATACGAGGTTACAATTCTTTGTTTTTTCCCGTCCCAACTGGCCGTAATGGATCTAGACATCTAGTTGTTTGTGATTAAAATCGTAACTAAAACTGGTTAGGCCGACACTACACGTCACGCACGACGGTGGGTTGTCTAGTTTCTACTGCAATGTACTATCACCATAATATGCAGAATATGCAGTATTGACTATTATAGTGTAGGGTTGCGTCGTTTAGCAGAGCATAGTGTGTGTTCTTTGTTCCGTTTTGGCTTAATTATATAGTTAGTCAGACAGTGTTTCACTTGGTTGTGTTGTCTTTGTCCAAAAGTATTTGGGGGGTTTTTAGTGGAGTGTAGAATTTTGGACCACAAATCCGACCACGTGGGGAACATATGGAGTCCATGTGAGAATTAGGGTTTGAGTTTGGGTTGGACCCACAACCTAAAGAAATCCAACCGATTTAACCGGACCAAAAATCCTGTTTTCTGAAGTCTTACATACCGTTTGGTACCAAATGAATACATAATTCATTTCATTATAAAATGAATTACCGTATAGAATTCATTGTCAAATAAATTATTGTGTTTGGTATGTCATATTCAGATCTTAAGAAATAAAATGAATTGAATTCCCAAACCATGTTTGGTGTACGTTTGTATTCTAGAAACAATATTCATTGAAAATTCATCTTCTAAAAAGTGTTTTTTGTCCCATACGTAGAATATCAAAGTGTTTTTGTATGTTTCTATTCTATTCATTAGTTTTTTACCTTTTTGATATTTTGTCAATGAACCCTACAATCTAGTTGTGGCTTCTCAACATATTGCTATAATCAAAGCAGAAATATCAAATAACCAGAATATCCTACTAGTGCTGCAATCAAATTCTTGTCAACGTTCCTCATACTGCATGAACTGGCGTCAGATAATACGTGTAGGATTAGTTTAGTTAATAAATGAGGATAATAATGCTATTTTGTTATAATTAGTAAATTCTTGTGGAATTCATTTGGAAATTTCATCTCAATTCATCAGAATTGCTATAACTAGCTCCAATTCCGTAGAGTTCAAAATTTAGAATTAGAAATGAATTCTTTTAAATACCAAACAAAAAAAGATTTCATTTCAAAATGAATTCCTTAAAATTTATAGAATTCATTTATACCAATCGGTATGTTAACCAATAGACGATTTTAACGATATGAAAAGATTGAGCCATGGTTAAACTTGTAGTTTCAATGCAAAATAACATACTATTAACTTTTCGGATACGGTCATACAATTCTTGATTCTAACATGTTAATGACCATGAATCAGATGTTCAGCACTTAATGACCATGCACATAATGATAATTGTTTGAATAGCAGTTAAATTGTTCATTACTTTGTTGGGAGTGTTTTTAGTTGCTAAGTGATCATATTTGTATTTGACCCAATTTGATTTCTTCAACATTCATAAAATTCACGAGACGAAACACTGGATTGCATTATATTCAATCTGATTCAAATATCTGTATAATTTGGTACTGTGCCGTGAGGAACAAAACCTTTACACACCACTACAGGTAAATTCGAACTAGTTTAATTTCAGTTTTGCCCCCTTAACGTTTGTCTTTATGTTCAAATGAATGATAACAGTGGTATTTTCATTAAAAAGTGACTTTATTCGTCTAAAGATCGATAGATAATTTTTACACATGTTTTGGCCACCATTTTTGAACCGTTTAAGAGTCGATTCTCGTGTTTTAACCCGATTTCACGCAATGTTGTGTGTTTATGTCATATTTCAGGACTTGACGTGGACATGGAGGTGAGGAAGCGAGTTTCGGGTCAAAACGTGGAGAATTAGCGCCTTGAAGAGTTGGAAGCTGAAATACCCGGTCAGACACTAAAATACCCGACCGGGTAATTATGAAGGGGGCGACCGCGTAAAATTGTTTTGGAGGCCAAAGGAGCAGAAGGAGTCCCAACCCCAAGATCTGGTATTCCCCCTTCCCTAGTGTGCATCGTTTTGAAATACCCGGCCGGTCCCCAGGAATACCCGACCGGGTATTTGGAGCGGGTATAGCGCTGCTGCTGTTTCAAGCAAGGTTTGGGATCTTTGGCAAGGAATCCGAGTTTTGGAGAAAGAAAACAAAAACCTAGAGAGAGAAAGTGATGAGCAAAGCCTCCAAGTGACCTAGATCAAGATTAAACACCATTGGAGCTCGATTGAAGTTTGGAGAAGTGTCGATTGACAACCAGAAGCTGTTTTTCATCCTTCACAGAATGATTTCCGCATCTGAAGCTGATTTCTAAACTCTCTCTCTCAATTGGGTATGAAGAACCCTAGATTTGTATGTTAGGTTTGGTTGTATGAACACAAGTACATGTTCTTTGACGTCGATTATATTCAATTGAGGCATGATTTTCTGAACTATATGAATCTTGATCAAATTCCTGTGTTTCCTACTTTGACCTAGAAAGACAATATTTGCCTAGGTTGATAGAACACCCTTAACTGAAGGTGGTGAATTGACTACTTTAGTCGAGAAGTCAATTCACTGCTTTGTACTGAATTTACTCCAGTAGAGGAGGTTTTGAACGTTAGGGCCTCAGTTTGTTTACTCCAGTGGAGGTTAGTCGCCCGTCGGGTACTCAGGTTGAGAGGGTCTGGAGACCTTTAGTCGAGACTTCAGACTGAATAAGAACCTTCCGCAGTATAACTGTCATCGAATCTGGACTTGGAGAATTGTAACCCGACTTAACTGCAATCTAGGGGGAACCATATCTAGGTGATCTCTCTCAAACTTGAACTACAAATTTTACTGCTTTGTATTCATTCAGTTTAGCTAACACTTCACTACAATTAAACCGCTAAATAATAAGAACTTCACGGAGTAGTCATCACATCTATAATCTGGGTTGACAATTAAAGCTAAACCCGCTATACTACGCATTAGTAGGTGGTTACACTTGACCACTTTCTAGTGTGACAGTACAATAGAGTCAAAATACAAACAGATAAACCAAATAGTGTTATCTTATACTGCTACTATTATTATATTAATTACAATGCATCCATATATAACATTCGGATAAACAAAAAAGTTGTTATATAGTCATTTTTTGCCATCACCCATCTAGTATGAAATAGGTAGATGAGTTTTAAGTTTTAACTGCAAAGTCCACGAGGAGCGGTTCCCCTACATAACTCATACATAGCCTATATTTACCATTTTCCCCAAAGAAATTTGTATATCTAATAGATCACGGTAAACTCGTTTTTTATGGGTAATGTTTTCAAAATACGAGTTAAAAACGAAGGTGGTACTAAGTGATATCAAGATGGTAATGAGTGATATGAAATTGTTTTGCTTGAAATATATTGAAATTTAATACAATTTCTTAGATCACAAAAAACCTGTTTCATCTGCATAAATATTTTTGAAATCCAAATTAAAAAAAAAGAAGAATATAAAATTCGATTAAAAAATAATCATAAATATTCATCTCTTGAATCTGATCCCTATTAATTAAAACTATAGGTCCCTGATTATGCAAATGTGCAGCAACCCTACTTATCCCTTTTGTCCCCAACGAAAATGGAATCGTGAGAGTTCTGAGTTCTGAGGGTGATAACAAGGCAAAAAAAAAAAAAATTATAAATATTTTTACAATTATTATATGATTAAATCATGTTATATGTTGTGTCGTTTCCCCCATCGCAGGAAGAAGACAGGCGAAGGACGTAACTCACTGATTTTGTAACTTTGTTTATGAGCATCTACAAGTAGAAAAGTAGGTTTAGATTTAGATATCCCCCTAATGAGTTTCCCCCCATCTGCTGGACAGCCCGGCCCCACTCGCAGGCGGATTCGATGTTCAATGGCACTAACTGCGGTTAACCGTAGATAACCGCGTAGTAATGCGGTTACATGTTGTTTGGTTGCGGTTAATTCGCAAACCGCAATATACATGTAATATTGCTAACCACAACCGCAAAATATCCTATTTTTTTTGGTTTGTGGTTAACCACTAACTGCGCGATTTCGATGCGGTTAGCGGTTTAACCGCAAAATCGCAACCGAATTCCCACCCCTAACTTAAACCGGTTTGACAATCTTGTTCAGGCCTATACTCAATAGTCGATCCCACATCATGAGCGAGCGAGCGAGTGAGCTAGCTCCGACCCCATCCACCGAAATAATTAAAAACAATGATAAGAGTGGTTCCACAAAACAATGATACCCCTCACTAACTCACTGCAACCACAACGATCCTAATTGAATGATCATGGGTTAAAAACGTGATTTACGATCGTTATATCGTACATTCTAATAACAAGTTAGCGACCGTAACAAACCTCCGACGGACTTCTCTCAGTCCATCAGATCTCGATAGTTTGTAACCTTTTATAAAGTGTTCCAACTTTGTTAGTATATGAACCGTCCTAGTAAAACACGGATATGTAACCTTTTTGTTAGTTAGATGTAAAAAAGTGAAAGACAAACCAAAAGCTGGACTGATCAGGCGGTTGGATTCCCCCTCGTAAATGGCTCCCAGTAACTAAAGAAACCAGCCGTTTGAGAGATGGTCCGATTAGATCCTAATATACTATATAAACTTGTCTACGATCTGAAAATTAAACTGTATGTTTAGTTTGACAACATTCAACCCAATTGTTAGATTCGCCTCTCTTGCAATGTCAATGATTGAGCGCAACGGGGAAAGCACAGTGGAAGGAACAAGAAAGGATTTGGGCATTGGAAAGAAAGAAAGAAAGAAATAAATAAAGAGAGAGTAATTAATTAAGAACCTGAAGTTGCAGAGGAGGAGGAAGAAAGGGAGCCGCCGCCGCCGGCTTGGGCGCATCGTGAAGAAGTGATGGAAGCAGCAGCACTAGTAGTTGTAGTGCGGAGGGCGAAGGTGTGGCCCTGCTGCTGAGCTCTCACCAGGCTCATCATAGATTCAAAGACTGGTGATGATGATAATTATAAGTTAATACAAATCCGATTCAGTTTATATTTAAAGAGCGGAAGAGAGACAGAGACAGGGAGTCCGACAATTGTTATATAATTAAGGAAGAGCAAGTCTAGAAGAGTGAGTCCGACAATAATTAATTTGGACTTGTAACTGCTGCTGTCGTTAATGCCCACGCTACCCCCTCCTATCTATTATATAGAGTGGTAAATTCCATTGTTTGTAGCTGACATTTTAAAGCTTAGTGTTTACGGCAAGGTTGTGAAATATCCTTACATCGTTTAGCAAGTGGTGTGGTTCAATTGAGATACAATATCAGTTCATGCCGGTCCAACAAAACACGTACAAATGTGAAAAGTTGTTAAAATACAACGTTTAACATCAACAAATAAGTGTGTTCATACTTGAATTCAATAGACAAATTAATATTTTACTTTCAAATTCAGGAAATAAATTACAAATTAGTTTTTAATTAAATTTCATTAAAACGATGTCATTTTGTTTAGAAGCCAAAAATCAATCATGGCATTGCACCTGCATGACAACCATGATTAACTTAGGATTCTAAATCAAATGATAATTAGTAGTGATGCAATGTAAAATTTGGTGTGATGTTTGCGTCCTATACAATATTTACCCATTATCAATCTTTGATGTTGAATGAATGACATATGTCCTCATCATAATGGGTCAAATCACTAGCTTTTACATAAATGACTCGAGCATTGAACACGAGATAAGTACTTGTAAATCCGTTTTGAACTAAATGTTAAAACTCGAAATATGACTTCGTTGAACTTTCGAATCACAGTCTTATTTACTTCTACAATTTGTACAGAGTTTACTAATCCATCCTCTAAGCTAATAAGGACCTTAATAGAGGATGACATAGACATCGCCTTCCATCGTCGAATTGTTACTCCCCCCTACTTAACCCCGCATCGTAAATTGCGAGCTGGATTATTAAAAAGTTTTATGTTTATCACTAAAAATATTTTCAGAAAAAAAGCCGTTTCTTCCTGCAAATGTATTTCTTCTAATTAATTAAACCCCATCAATATGTTCAGCTAGTACCACTTGGAATGCGTAATCCCTTTTCTCCGTCACCATACAACACGACGACGTGGATTGAGTAAGCAGCGAGGGAGGGAAATGACGAGACGGCCGACGACTAACTTTAATTTCAAGGAATGACATTAAAGTTCAACATAATTAATTACCTGGACAATTAAATACGCCTTGTGGCAGATTTGCCGTCGGCCATAACCAATCAGAAGCAGGGACGGACAAACTTAACTTGCTTACGGTCTGGTCTCACTTCGATCTCCAACGGCCAAGCCTACCAAATGGGCAGAGGATAGATGGGAAATGGTGGAGGAGTCGGATGCAATGGGGGCATCGGTGCTCAAAGACAACCCACCAGCGAACATGTTTTGTGCGATTCTTAGGATTGCCAATTGAACTACGCATAATGTTGACAAGAAAAGTCATTATTGTATCTAGTTTAGACTTGTTCTATTTGTTTTGTAATTTGAATAGAGAGGGGTCCATTTTCTTCTTGTATTATATTTATCATACAGGCTTGGGCCACTGACTTTATTACTTATTAGTGGGAGTGTGAAATGGTCTGGGAAATATCGGATCAAACTGAAGTTTGGACTGGACCGCACCGAGTATAATGGGATCCAGTCTTTGGTCTCCATAAATTTTACAATTACTTAGAAAATGATGAATCAAACTGATATCTAGATTTGGTCAGATTTTTAATCTTAAAATATCTTTCAATAATGTACCATAATTCTCACAAGGATAAGATTGGTTCTGTCCGGACAGCATCGTTCACCCCACTACTTATTACTATTAGTACTTCCGTTCCTGCAGCTGAAAGTGTTCCTCGGGCTTGGGCCACTGACTTATAGTAAATACTAAATACTAAAGCAGCTCTTCACAGTCATAAAACAAACGATATGACCTTCTTCACTTCCTACAAATACGAAGTATATGACACACATTACAGTATCTTAATCATGAATTCAAGATAGTCAGCTAATGACGACACATCAAGATCAACTAGGAACTTCCACATCATTCAGTTCCAACTCATTGTAGACTAGAACAATCCAGCCGAATAACGACCTAAACCGAACAGACATAACCTCTTGCGCCAAGAACCAACATCTGCAAGTGATCAAACCAAACAAAAAGAACATTTCCCACCCAAAGCCAACATAGGTCAATCAGATCCATTCAGACAACGGGCATCAAAACTGGAAATCTCTCAAATAAGTAGACAATTCATAGTTTCATACAGAAGCATAAATTCTAGATTCAGAAAAAAGGGCAGGGAAGGGAAGGGAATAACATCTCTGCCGTTGTCAATAATAAACATGGGTTCATCTGTTTCTTTCTAAACTAAAAATTTACTTCACAGGTCTGCTCTTCCTGGGTATCTTGGGAATGGAATAACATCTCTAATGTTGTCAATGCCGGTCGCGAAAAGAATCATCCGTTCAAACCCTAACCCAAACCCACTGTGCTTTATGGTCCCAAAGCGACGAAGGTCAAGGTACCACTCGTATGGTTCCAGGGGCAGCCCCATATCCAAAATTCTGTCATCAAGTAGCACTCATTAGATCGATGTTGATTATTGAAACCCAAACAAGCTAACATGCACTCGCATACCTTTCTTTAATTACTTCATATCGCTCCTCCCTTTGACTTCCACCGATCAATTCTCCAACCTAGTATGGACAAAGCAAAGCTTTTAGGAAACTGATAGGAAAGCAGCTGAAACTTGTTGGTAATGTAAATTCAGAGGTGTGAACAGAAGGACGAAGTACTATTTACCTTTGGTACAAGGACATCCATTGCAGCCACTGTCTTTGAATCGTCGTTGAGCCTCATGTAGAAGGCTTTGATTCCTTTAGGGTAATTGTAAACTATGACTGGCTTTTGGAACTTGACCTCTGTCAAGAACCTGTCAAGGATGGACCAAAATCATATAATCGGTGGTACCGGAAAGAACACCGATTTAGTTTTTATTTATTTATTTATGAACACAGCTAAAGATGTAAAAGTTTTTGCATGATAATACCTCTCATGTTCAGATGCCAGATCAATGCCCCATTCAACTTGGTTATCAAACTTCTGACCACCCTTCACAGCCTCCTCAAGGATTTCAACAGCTTTTGTGTATGAAATTCGTTCGAAAGGAGTAGATGCGACCATTCTTAGACGGGCAATGCAGCCTTTGTCATAAAGCTTAGCCATGAGCTCCATGTCATCAAAACACTTGTCCAGTAACCACTGGGACATATACTTTACATACGCCTCTGCACAGTTCATATCATCCTGCAAACATTTTGAGACACAAATCATGCTTTATCTCATAATTGCAGCACATCAAGTTCGTGGCAGAATCACTACAGCTTAATACTCCATTATGTTCAGCTTTGCCCTACTGATAACCGAAGGAACTCAAAAACGCTAATATTGAACTACATATATAGTATACATACCTGAAGATCTGCAAAAGCTATCTCAGGCTCCACCATCCAAAACTCAGCCAAATGCCTTGAGGTATGAGAGTGTTCGGCTCTAAAAGTCGGTCCAAAAGTGTACACATTGCCGACAGCACATGCATAAGTTTCAACTTGCAGCTGACCAGAGACGGTCAAGAAAGCCTGACGTCCAAAGAAATCAGCAGCATAGTCAATCTTCCCATCCTTCCGTGGGATACCGGGTTTAAGTTTGGCTCTCTCTTCCAACTTAGACAAATTCTCCTTCCCTTTATTCAGTTCAGCAACTGCAGCCCCAATCATAGCCTTGTCAGATTTCTCAGCCTTGAGCTCAGCCACTGCCTTTCCTTTCTGCTGTACAACAAGCTTAGCTGCCTCCACATCAGCCTCTGATGGTGGAGGGTTCTTAATCAGATCTTTCTCTGCCTTCTCCGCTTCGCTGATTATCGTCGTAACTTGGAACATTTCACCCGCGCCCTCGCAATCACTAGTGGTGATAATCGGGGTATGAACATACAGGAAACCATTCTCTTGAAAGAAGGAGTGCGTAGCAAAAGCAAGAGCATTACGAATTCGAGCAATTGCAGAAATCTGAGGCCAAAACATCATAATCAAAATATGTCAAGTCTACGAATCTTAAATTCGGAAGCAAAACGATTCAGAAAAGGATCGATCTTTCTTTATACCGTGTTAGTTCTGGGACGGAAGTGGATATGATCCCTCAAGAACTCCAGAGTGAGCTTGGTCTTCGGAATCGGGTACTTCGCCGGGTCAACCGGCCCGATGTGGAGGACCTTCTCGACGTGGAGCTCAATCTTCTGCTTGGTACCCACAGGCGGAACCTTCAGCAATCCTTCAACCGAGACGGAGGTCCCAGTCGACACCAACGACCCGAGGCCGACCTCTGCAATGTCACGGTTCACCATAACTTGCAGATTCGCAGGGCAAGACCCGTCGTTGACTTCTAAGAAGGCGAATGCGCCCTTCCCTTGCTCCCTCCCTGTCTTGACCCATCCGCCGACGCGGATTCGCTGCCCGGCGAGCCCAGCTCCGCCGTCGGGGCGAGAGACGATGGATCGGATCGGGACCCGATCGGAAAATGGATGCTTCAGGGCTAGCCCGGTCGCCGCGTTGTCGGTCAAGGTGGTGCTAGCCAGCTCCGCCACCGGCGGCGTCGTCGTTGTGTCACTCATTTTCTCTTTTTTGCAGAGGGTTTGAGGATTGGCTTTGGCGCGTTTGAAAAACCCTAACTATTGGTTTTGCGTTTTGGTCTTTATCGTTGTTTATTATCATTGGGAGAGGGAATTGGCTGCGGGGACTAACCAGGCAAGGTTGTCGAGGGTCGACCCACTTTGACCTTGACCCGGTGAGAAAAACGGGCCGCACACACCTAACTCAAATTGAGAAAAACGGTACCGGGTTGAAAGTTAAATTGTGTCATTTTTTTCTTTGGTTTGCGAAATGCGCATACTTTTCCGATTTTTCTTTTCGCCTAACTCAATCTTTGGAATCCTAAGTTGAATATTTGAATATTGATGTATATAAGTGTGTGTGAATTTTCACTTTATGCTAGATCTAAGTACGATATGTTATTTTGGTGTAATATTATATGTTATAACTCGTATGTTAGATAAGATTTCATATAATTTATAAGGAAAAGTCCAATATAATGATTCTTTCCATATTTCCGGGCCAAACCGGGCTAAAACGGTTGACCCATTAACCCTTAACCCACTAGTTCGACCGGGTCCGGATCAACCCGCGGGTTGACAACCTTGAAACCAGTGTTACTTGGGCTGCGAAGTAACACGTGGCAGGATCGGATGGAGTTTGATGGGTTTATCAACGGTGGAGGGTGGACTGCGGGCTTCTGTAGGTCTGAACTGAATTTCACTGGTTAATAGTAATTATTATCAAGCTTTTGCTTTACCCTTTTTTCGTCTAAATTGATTAATTAGAAAGAATTAAACAACTTAATTACGAAGTAAGTCCAACAAAAAAGGGAATATTTTGATCATTTTCCTAGTTTATGGCATATAATCCATTTATTACTGCAATTACACTCTTATTAATAAGCCGATTTATTAACTTAACTAGGGTTACCCTTTATATTTGCTACTGCTAATTTATGACTTGATTCCGTTCTTGAGGCAGAAGGCCCACCGAATCTGAAATTCGGGCCTACTAAGCCAGTTCCCACGACTGAAAAGGTCCAATTTCAGCAGAGCCCTGAATCTCATCTCTACTAAATGCTGATAGGCTGCTGGGGAAACAGGCTAAGCGTTGAATCTTTTCAAAGTAAAAAGAGAGTTCTTAAAATCAGCGTATTCTGCAACTACAGTCTACAATCAGTCTCAAATTCACTCAAACACTGAATTAACATAACATTTTGCTATCATTGAACTGAATGTACCTCTAATGAACTTTGCACTATAGGGTCGTCTCTCAAAATAATTCCGTAAGGTTAGCAGAGACAGTTACAGTAGATCTCAAAGCAACAAACTACAATTCTGTGATGCGATGTGTGGTACAGTTCGCTTCATCATCTCATACTCCACGACCACGAAACTCGAACTTCCAATCCTAATGAGCAGAAAGAAGGCCATGCATTTACCTGATTTCACCAGATTGTCACCAAGTCACGAGAAAGCAGCATCCTATTTCCCCACCGCAAGCGACAATGCTGAGGAAGGAGTTAACGACCTGCCTCGAACAACTGATTGTGTGACATGTTTGGCTAATGAACAAGAATTTACAGTACAGTATTCTGCATCATCGTCATCGTCGTCGCCACCAATCAGGAACTCTAAGTCGATGACTTCTATGTGTAGCCAGCTGGACACCTGGAAGCTTCCGCCTCAACTGTCTCCAAAGCATGTCCACTGCATCTCCTTTAGCCGGAGGGAACTGGAACTCAAAGTGATGAGAGATGTTCTTGAGGTTCCTCCACATTTCTAACCACTTCTCCTTCGGGAATTCACTAAGCTTTTTGATCAAGAAACCGGGCTGCAGAGCTTCTGTGTCGGAGAAGAACAAAGAGAACTTGGTGTAGTCAATTTCATCCTCGTATGGAAGCTCGATTTTGTCGCTGACAACGACGGGTACACAATGGCTGACAATGGCATCAAATAGCCGGCACGATGATGGTGTGTCGCCTGCCGGATGCAAGCAAAACTTGGATGACCGCATCCCTTCTGTTGACTACATGCATCAGAAAGTAGAAAGAAAGGTGAGTGGGTTAAAATGATAGCATGTTACTCATGTTGGAGACAGGATATATAAACTAGATATTCGAGCACCAAACACAAGATACTTTTGAATGTAGCATACAACTATACAAGTATATTCAGAACAATACCTACAAAGTTCAATTTTTATATATCGGGACTTACCGCCTGTATTGCATGAGTAGTAGGCCTTCCTCGCTCATATCTAATATGCTCCTGACCAAGCAATATCTTCTCCAATTTAGCACGCACTTTGCCTTCCTGCACAACATAATGACACCAATCAAACTCAACTCCCAGAAAATAGTGGATAGACAGAGCAACCGGAACTAGGATAAGCATACATCTTTTCTGACTGTGCTCCCACGGAAGAAAAGAAGAGTTTTGCGAGACTCGTAAGGATCTTTAGCAGTGTCATTTGTGTAACTATCAACAACATGGACATAAGGAGCAACGATATCTTTACTAAGAGTCGAGAGGGATCTCGGGTAGCGCCCGAAGTCAACAACAATGAGAATTGATGCATTCAACTCTTGACGGAGAAATCTGAAGGCATTTGGATGTGTCATGGGAATGACATGGTCTCTTCCGGCAGATCTCTGCCAGTATTTAGATTTGTGCAGCATGTCCATTATTTCAACCTAGCACCACAAAGATCTAAAGATAGTAAGATAAAGCAAAACTGGATTAAGAATTAAGGCAACAAACACGGTAACAAATTACCACAGTCATGAAAGGTTTTGAAGCTTCAGATAGTGAAACAATTCAACTCACGTTGAAAATGAGGAAACAAGAACCATCCATCACCAACAATTCACTGTCACAATCAAAGGAAGTAGTCCTTGATCCTGATATATTGATTCCTTTCACTAACTAAGGACTTACAATGAATCAGAAACAAGAGCACCATCCATCAACTAAAATTCCTTCCAAACAATCAAAACAATGCCCGATTTCGATCCGGGTAGATACCCTTAACTAAGTAAGAAAATGACAACTGAATCTGGAGCAAGCTTCAGTCTCTACATCCCTGATGGAGAAAATAACATCCCAAGAATTCTTCCCTCTTTCTTTTAAGTGCATCTATACTTTCCCTGTTTCTGCAGACTGCCACCACACAGTAAGCTCCCAAATAGCACAGAGTCAACACCAAAAGCAAATTCTCTATAGTTCTAAATCCATCCAAAATTTCAGAAACGGAAATTCACTAATCTATCAAACCACAATTCACAATTCTTATCTTAGCCTCTCAATCTGAAACTCGAAATTCCGGCTCAATTCTCAACAACCAAGAGAAAGACGAATCGAATTACCCGGGGGATCAATGATTACCTGCAATTTCCGATCACCCTCCGTCGCCGGATCCGTCATGTTGTGGCCGTGCGTGTTGAAGCTCAACGACGAGAAGAACGGGACGTAGAACGCGTCCGCCGCCTCCGGATCCAAAACCCTCACCGCCTCCCTCCCTCTCCCTTCGAACAAGAGCGAAGCCATCAGCCAGTACTCGACGCTATGCTGCTTCCTCACCCCGGCGTTCTCCGGCCACTGCGGGATGTTCTCCGCCGTCACCGGCTCCTCGCCCTGCGGTCCCTCCGGATCCATCATCCCGACGTGGAACCTCCGCGGGAGGTCGTACATGTACACCTTCAGCGGCTCGTAATCGCAAGACTGGGACCGCTGTTGTTTCTGTTCCGGGAGGAGAGGGAAGAAGTAAGGGCGGAAGTCGAGGGATCCGATGAATATAGAGTAGGAGAAGGCGAGGAGGAGGAGGAAGACGACGGAGAGGATTACTTTGCCGTACATTTTCGGCGGCCGGATGAGAGCTCTGCCGATTTCTTCCTTCTCGTACTTACTGATCTGTAGCTCGTGGCTCATTTTCCCCCCTCAGCTGGATCAGTTTTTTTTTTACTTTTCTTTCTTCTCCAGTTCGTCGAACGACCTTCCGATTTTAGTGGGGAAGGCGAGACGACGACGAAGCGGACAATAATAACAGATATCCCGCGGCTTATTAGCATTATTTTATTTTATTTTGGATCACCGGACGCTTTATTCTTCATTTTATTTCTTTCCCTTCTGTTTGAAGAGAGAATAAACCTCTTTTTCATCCTGAAGCAAAGGTAATTAAATTAAAATTAAGCAAGCGTATGTCCGTTTCAAGTTTCAAGTCGGACAAGTGGGATTCAAAATGAAGGAAATAAGATGTGGGAGTAAAAGTTGTACAAGTGATTCAAAGTGGCATATTGGTTGGACGTTTTTGTTCATTCGATTGATCATGTTGGTAGCATCTTTCGGATTTCCTTCTAAACTTCATGATTCTGAGTATCAAGGCAATCAATTCACTTTGACATACAACACATATGTGATCTGCTTATATCTGCGATAGGCTGGATATGGCCTTTTGTTCCCAATATTGGATTGATCGATATCCGAACACCTTAGTCAAACATTTCATGGATCAGGGATCTTATCATAAGCCATATGCCCGGAGTAATCGACCTCTCTTCAGATTTGATGCTAGATAGGCGGATAACCCGGAGGTCAAAGCTATGGTGTCCTATATTTGGCAAGAGTAACTCCAAGGGACTCCTATGTACTAGCTTTGGGAGAGACTGAAAAACTCTGACATTTGCTTTATGATTGGAGTAGGGCGGGAACTACTAGTTCTCTTCGAAATATCAAGACCCTCCAATCTGAGATAGCACGAATAAAGTCGGTTCACCCAATTAATTGGGATGCAGTGAGGGTTTTGGAAACTTACTTGAGTAGGCAATGGGAGGCAGAGGAGGTTTATTGGCATAAAAAATCAAGGGTCCGTTGGTCTAAGAAGGGCGACAAGAATACGTCGTACTTCCATATGGTTACGAGGGCGCGTAGAAAACAGAACTTTGTGTCCAGGCTTCAAAATGATAGTGGGGAGTGGGTCACCGAGGAGAGCGGAAAGGCCAATATTGCCATTCATTTTTATCAAACTCTTTTCATATCAGAGAACAAGGTGCTGAACATGGACGCCCGAGTTGCAGATCTACCCAAAGCTCGTAAAGTAACAACGGAAATGAATGTCAGTCTTATGGCAGAAGTCCTTCCCAGTGAAGTTCGTAAAACATTCCTCTCCATGGGATCGAATTAGGCAACGGGGCCTGATGGGTTCACTGGGAAATTTTTCAAATCCTTCTGGGATATTGTTGGCGCGTCTGTGGTCGAAGATTTTTGTTCATTCTTTAGAACGAGCAGGATTCTCTGCGGTTTAATCACACCTTGTTGACACTGATCTCTAAATTGGACAATGTAGAAGACATGAGGCATATCATGCCAATAAGCTTATGCCAATTTGTGTATAAAATTATAACCAAAATCATGTCTGAAATACTAACCCGTCTCTTACCACAGATCATCTCGGAAGGACAAAATACTTTCATCCGTGAACGACAGATAATGAAGAATGTCCTACTAGGGCATGAGCTAATGCACTATTTGAAAATCAAAATCCAAGGCAAGAAAGGGTACATGGCTATAAAGGTTGACATGGAAAAGGCCTATAATAGAGTTGAATGACCATTTTTCCTTGCGGTTTTGGAAATATTATGTTTTAACTCCACTTGAAGGGTTGGATACAAGAATGTCCCAGGTCAGCGGCGTGTGTGGTCCTTATGCACACCCTCGAGGTTCTTCGCACCCTCAAGAGGTCTCCGGCAGGGAGACCCACTATCCTCAATTTTGTTTTTTATTTTGACGGAGGGGTTTGCAGCGCTCATCGGGAAGGCCATTTGAGAAGGGAAGCTATAAGGGGTTAAAGTTGCCCCCAGAACTCCACGAATCTCGCATATGTTTTTCGCGGATTACTCTTACTTATTCCTCAGAGGTTCTTTGCAGGAATGTGAGAACTTGATTGAGATTTTGAATGAGTATGAGGAGCTCAGTGGCCAAATAGTTAACTTGGTCAAATAGGCAGTGTGTTTTAGCAAAAATATTTCTCTTCCGGACCAAGATTTCCATGCTTAGATTCAGGGAGTTGGGGTTGTGGGGGTCAAGGATAAATATCTATGGCTAGCCACACTAATAACCCAATCTAAAATGGCTACTTTCCAATTCTTGGAGGAAAAGTTGCTGAGCCGACTTCAGGGGTGGAAGAAAAAGACACTCTTGGGCAACAAATGAGACATTGATTAAATAGTGACTTTAGCTATGCCATTACATGTCATGTCCTGTTTCAAGTTCCCTCTCTCTTTGTCGCCTCTTAGTTCTACATGTATTCAGATTTTGCTCGGGTGTTGATGAGGGTCATTCCCGGATACGTTGGATGTCTTGGCACAATATGTATCGGAGTAAGCATGATGGGGGCAATGGCGTTTCGCCGTTTTGAACATTTTAATCAGGCGCTCTTGGCCAAAATTGGATGGAGCATCCTAAATGACCCACAGTCGCTCCTAGCCCAGGTTTACAAGGGGAAATACTTTCCAAAAGGGACCTTCCTCATTGCTATTGCACGATCTCGTCCATCTTGGGGATGGCAAAGCATCCTTTATGGTAGACAGTTGTTAGTGCAGGGTCTAAGATGGCAGATTGGTAACGGGCCAACAACTTCAATGCTTTCCTCAAGTTGGATTCCTCGGTTACACCCCCCGTACTCCTTTGTATAATGCATAGGTGCTGCCAGAGGGTGGAGACCCGAAGGTGATGGAGGTAATTTGCCAAGGTGAGGGCATGTGGTGTGATATCAAACTCAGCCAACGGTTTGACTCGACCACTTCTCGCACCATCAAAACTATCCCTCTTCCTCGTCAGTATGTTGAGGATAGGTTGATCTGACATGACACGTGCGACGTGATTTTCACTGTCAAATCGGCTTATCATCTTGCAGTCTTGCTAGATAAGCAGGTAGGTCGATGGCGATCCACGACTAGTTGGATGGATAGGTCAAGCTGGATCTGCTTGTGGGAAGCCCATATTCCACCCAAATTAAAGGGATTTTTATAGAAAATTTTCCACCGAATCCTCCCAACAACGGAAGCCCTAATTGAGAAGGAAGTTCTGGTGCATCCCAAGTGCCTGGTTTGTTGGGAAGTATCGGAGACAATTGAACATCCGTTTCTGGATTTCCCAGTGGAAAGGACTCTCTTAGATCATTTGGAGCTCAAACACCTGGGGCAAGGTTTGCCTCGTCACACTTTTCTGCTCTTCCTGAAAAATTTGATGGGCCTTATACATCAAGCTCAAGTATTCATGACAGTTGTTGCGGTCCTTTGGCGGATCAGGAGGTCTCATAATTGGATTGTCTTTGAGGGCAAACAATTTGGGATCCCAACTTTAATGCGGCGATTTCACCAACATCAGGAGTGGATTAGCTTGCCAGTTGACCGTGTGGTCCGATCGTCCGTCCCACAAGTGAGTTATTTTGGAGATGGGAATCTTAGCTCAGTGATTTTGCATGTGGGATGGGGCAACTAAAAGTGGGTCTCACTCAGCAGGGGGCATAATTATCAAGGACTAGGGGGATGATCCTTTTGGCGAAAGGGATACAGTTTGTTGATATTGATGATCCTATGGTAGTTGAGCTCCTCTTTCTCCGGGAGGCAATTCTCTGGTGTCTAGAGAATGGGTTTACGGAGACAAGGCTGGAAGGCGATGCCAAAGTGATCATTGATAAAATAAACCAGGCAAATACCCAGGATAATCATATGGGGGTCATCCTTGAGGAAGTCATGCGCTTTTTGGCTGTTCACTCTAGGCTTAATGTGCGATTTGTAGGTCGGAGTAGTAATAGGGTAGCCAATTTGGTGGCTAGAAAGGCCATTTCTTTGTACCCAACTATGTGTCGTTTCTTTAATTTTCTAGCCTGGTTGAATTCTAGAATGTAATGATCTATTGTTTGAATCAATATAAATGATTATCTTTTGTAAAAAAATGTTCCATTGTGAGTTGTGACAAGCTCATTTATCATATTAGATTTGGTAACGACTATAGCTCATTTTTTACGGCGATGGCTCATTTTTATGTTTGGTTTGGTGGTGGTGGTGGATAATCATTCATAAAAAAATTAAGGTGGATAATCATCACTTTGTTTGTATATTATTTCATGCATTACTATTGATTAAATTTTTTTTGTCTTGCCCTCGACAATAAGATTGCAGTCTGGAAAATGTATAATCTCACCCTCACAAGTCGAATGACTGTTTCAGTGTTTTATTTCCTATCTGCGTATGTCATGCAGGCAACTTACTTACCCATGTCGATTTGTGACCAAATAGACAAAAGGATATGAAGCTTTATTTGGGGCTCAACAACAAACATACACAAGATTCACCTAGTTTATTGGGATGATATTTGTAAGCCAAAGTGTGATGAAGTTTGGGCGTTTAGAAAGCTACAAACTAACACTCCAAACAACGACAAGTGAATCAATGATAGGATCGTAATATAGTTTCTTCAAATTATAAATTGTCGTATTACTAGAGTTTCTAAGTTTTTTTTCCGGTAATTGAGTTTCAAATTATAAATTGTCGTATTCCTCGAGTTTCTAAGTTTAATAGTACTCAAATTTAGATAATTATCTAGCCAATTCGAGTTTCAAATTCGTTTACTTCTACCAATTACAACTACTCAACCTAACAATAAAATTATTAACTAAGGTAAAGGAATGCAATTGATTAGACTCTTAACCGAGAAGGCCCACTTGGGTATTGATTCCCCATAGCTTTGAATCAAATGACAATTTGACTCATTCCAACTACAACATCTCGATCGACGCCCAAGTATAACCGCCGATCGGTTGTAGTATAGGGCAAGCAAGCAATAATAATTTATCGTACCACGGGGATCTAGGCTTACCCTTCTTCATGTTTATGGTTTGTTATCTAGCCAACTTAGAGTAGTGATTAGGAGAATTAAACTAACTAACCTAGCTAACCACTAACCTAGCTATTTACAAGTTTGGGAGCTCTCTTGGGCTGAAAAGTCCTACCTCCGTTGTAGGATCGATGTTGAGCACCATCCTAGCTTGATCGAATCACTACCCAACCATTAGGAGATGAACTCCCTCGGGACAGATCCGGAACGGTGAAGTGATGGACGGGTGGTGCTCTATTCAACCTAGGGCACACGTATATTATAAGAGCTCGATCCACTCGACTCCCTCAGGGATTACCTGGACGATAGAGGGTGAGGAGTGACTCGAAGACGCCAAGAAAGGGGCTCTAAGGGGATTTTCTCCCTCCTAGAATGGAATCCAAACTCACGCCATTCATGAAAACCATCCATAATTTAGATAATCAACTCAATCAAACATGGAATTGGTCACATACAACAACACCCAATCAAAATATAGAACTAGGGTTCTTAAACCCAAGAGAAGAGGGTGAGTTTCTAGAGAGAGAAGAGATATATTACAAATTGGAGCCCAAGATCTTCTTCTTCTTCTTCTAAACTTGACTCCTTGCTTCCAAGCTTGATCAATGCCTTTTATTAAGCTCCAAGAACTCTCTCTCTCTCTCTCTCTCTCTCTCTCTCTCACTAGAACTCCCCTTTCTTTTTTTGGGGTCGAAACCCTAGAGAGAGAATCAAATTCTCCTAAAAAAACCAGCTCCCCTTTCTCTCTCCCCGCTGTTGTCTTTATATCTACCCGATAGTGCCGAGTTCACAGTTGGGGCTTCAGTTTATGGTCTTAGCGATCGTGAACTGACTTGAGTCTAGTGAGATGAAACACCTTAACCAGGTCGGGTACTAATTTTACTAAAATGCCCTTGAAAAATAAAATACTCAAATCTTAAATTGTAGCGGAAATTTTTTTCAAAAATAAAATATTGAAAACACGCTCTTGTAGTTCAAAGCAAAGCCCTAACAAGTGGGCAAATTAAACTCAAACTTTAAAATCTCAATATGATCTCCAGTCTATACTCATAATCATAAAATGTAATAACTCAACAATGTCTAACATTTCCGCTTACTGAAAACGTTGACTAGGCATCCTTTGTTACGCTCGTACCTAGGGATGGCAACAAAACCCGAACCCACGGGTACCCACCCGACCCAACTCGGTCAACGTGGGTAAAATCCGTGTTGACGGGTTTTGGGCCGAGTTTGGGTTTAAACCCGTTCACTATTCACCAGGTTGGGTTGGGTTTTGGTTTAGGTAAACCCGGCGTATGGGTACCCGCCCACACCAATATAATTAATTTTCTCGATATTTAATATTCTAAAAAACTAATCTTATTTATGTTTGTGGAGAAAAGTCTAATTTTTTCTTTCTAATTGTGTAGAATGAAGTTGATGTTATCGAGTGGAGAGTGAAGAAAATTAATTGAAAGGAAGAAGCTTTCAATTAATCATGTTATTTATGGATAATTTGTGATTTGTTTCAATTTTCTTGAGTTTTCTATATTGGTGTTGAACAATTTGTATAGTTAATTTGTGATTTGGTTGAATTTTCTAGAATGGTATTTTATATATGGATAATTTGTATTGAGAGATTGATATTTGACTTTAATTTTGATAGGAACTTGTTATTGTAAATTTTTCACGACAAAAACAAGTGGGTACCCATAAACCTGCAGATACCCAGCGGGTTGGGTTTGAGTTTTTTCAAACCTAGTGGGTTTACCCCGGGTTTTTTTTACGGATAAACCCATGGGTTTGGGTTAGGGTTTGGCCAAACCTGACCCATTTCCATCCCTACTCGTACCGTCCTCCTCTAGCTGGCTTCCCTGGAGCTGCTTATCCTGACCTCGCTGCTCTCTAACTACTCCTCTAGCTCTTCCTCTTCAAACTGGTGAGTGAGTTGGGATCAGTCTTCGCCCTTACGTTTAAAATCTCTATTACTTGAATACTTTACTTAAGACACTTAACTTAAACGGGTGGAATTTGTTTGTGCTTCCACTCTTAAAAAATTTAACTCTTAAAGCTATATGGGAGCTACTGTTACTCTCCATTCTTAAAGCTCAAATCTCAACTTAAATACTTGACTGACATGAGGATCCCTCACTAGCTAGTCCGGTTGCCCAACTCATACGTATGAGAAGCCATCCAAGCTTTTCTGAAACTTAAACTTAGTTAGGGGAGTCGTAACGATTCATCCCCCTAACGTCTTAAACTTATCGTGGTGGCTTTTCACCATGATTCTCAAGAGCATAACTGCTGCTCTATCTCAAAATTTCAAATGGCAACAGACTGCCGCTAGTGACTAAAAACACTTAAAACTTTTTCACCTTCTTGAAGGTGAAGTACTCAAAACACTCGTTCTTAAACAACGTAAATACTTAATTAGGAGGACAAAAACTCAAATGCTTAAACTTAGATACTAAAATGCTCAAAACAATAAGTCAAATCGAAGCATGTATACTTAAGCACAATCATAAATCAAACATTGCACATACACTTCACGTAAAATATATACTTAAAGCAACATAAGACAAATACTTGAAAAACCCCGTAAGGCGTAGAATTTACCCACTTTACACTCACATAGGACACATGACCAATTCTCGAAGTAACGCAGTTTAACCTTTGTCTCCTTATCATGACGCCTGACAACTGAATCTCCGTTACTTGATCATGCGATGGACTTCAAATATGATTCATGTGACATACCAATTAATTTGAGGTCAACCCCCATCTAGTGTTCCAGTTACATCTCGGCTGACACCATCACGATCTCTTTGCAGGCTATGAGCGTTCCCTCCTCAAGGTAGATAACCCTCATCCAACAAAATGGCTGCTATAATAACCCTTCACTCAAGCAAATGCATGCACTCTATGCATGAACGTCTACTGCCTAGCCTAGCTATCAAGTTGTCGTCTTATAGTGATCCCAATTTCATCTTATCCATGTTTGCCCACACATAATAACATGCCATCCATCTATGGCTCCCCCGTTCATTCTTATTGAAATAACTATGGCTTCACTTAACCAATAATTATATCAAAGCATCTATGGCCACTTCTTTG